GCCCAAAATTTCGCTACCAGTTCTGTAGTAGTCCGATTTTGGTCGATTAACAATTGATTACGGTAGTCTGAATCCGATTGACCTGCCATATCTTTTAAGAGAGGTATAATATATTTTCCTCGAATCTTATTATGCCTGTTACATCTGAGCATCATATGCTCGATAGATTCTATCTCGTCAGAGCCACAAGGGCAAAATCTCTGTTCCCTCGGGATTTTCTTAAATCTGCCTTCCAACACTGCAGAAGGGAAAACCTCATATCTAGCCAGAGTAAAGGCTTTCCTAAACTTATATGTCTCAAGCTGTGATAGGTAGGCCATAGGGAGCGGACGATTTTATGCATGCCTATTGCTCTAAAATTGGGGCATCTACTGAGATTTACCTGTCTCTCCATATCCATTATTCTCTGTTTAAGGGCTGATTTTGCTTCATCCCATTGCATGCTTAATATTGCTTGAGGAGAGAAGCCCGTTACTTGCAATTTATTTAGGATTGCATTTAACCACCACGATTGAAAATTGTTCTCTAGGAGTAGATGAGTTAATCCCTGTAATTGAAAGTTTATTTTAAGCCAGTACTGAAGGAAGACTAGTACAATTTTGGTTACCATTGTTAGCGAGTTGGTCTCCAAACGAGTTTGTACATTTGTTAAGCATCTTGGAATTTTCTAACTCTTGTTTGTCCTTTATATTTTGTTCTTTAGTTAACAGAGTTTCATATGTAGTCAGTGCTCCTTTCTGGTTCAACACTTGCAGCATAAATGCCTCAATAGGAGCTGCCCATAATAGAATTTTCTTATAGGCTTGTGCTTGAAATTTTAGCCATACTAAACCTAAAGCCTTCCTAAGGATATGTTCTCCAAAATGTGATTGTTCTTTGTGTTTCCCATACCACACATATGCATGTCATCCCATATTTATATCATGACCCTCCAGTTTTAAAGGTCTTTGGTTTTGAAGAGTTATCCATTCTTTTACCCAAGTTATGGCACAAGCCTTATAATATAATAACCAGTTCGACAGTCCTGCTCTCCCCTTTCCTTTAGGTCTTGTAATAGTCCGAGTTTTATTCTTGGTTTCTTAGACTTACAAATAAATTTTGATGTCAAGCTATCCAAATACTTAAAATACTTAAAATACTTAAAATTTAATAATATTGGCAGGTTTTGGAATAGGAATAATAGTTTTTGGTAAAATCATCATTTTTATTGTTGATATTCTTCCCTCTAGAGAGAGTTGTAACTTGCTCCATTCTTCCAAATTTCTCCGGATGTCCTTCTGTATTGTTAAATAGTTTTCTTTCATTAAGTTACTTGGGGATTTTTTTGTGATGATAACTCCTAAATATTTAAATTTTTGCACTGCCTCAAAGTTAGAGTACCTTGCCAATTTTTCCACATCTTCTTTCTTTATGTTTTTAGTCATAAATGTTGGTTTTTGATAGTTTATTTTAAGTCCGGCCACCTGTCCAAATTCTTCTATGACTCTCAATAATTCTTCCAAGTTTTATAAAGGATTTTCCAGTATTATAACTAGATCATCCGCATATACTTGCACCTTAAATTCTTCTCCTCTGATTTTAAGTCCTTTAATTGCCTCACTATCTCTAATCTGTCTGTTCAGAATTTCCAATATTAAGATAAATAATAGGGGAGATAGCGGGCATCCCTGTCTTGTGCCTTGTCCAATCTGTATATTTTCAGTTACATTACCATTAATGTTTATCTTGGCTACTTGCTTAGTATATATTGCATTAATTGTTTGTAGAAATGTTCCTTGAAAGCCCATTCTCTTTAGTTGTGACAACATAAACTCCCAAATACCCCGCCCATCTAGACACATGTCACTCTTGGCGGCTAACAATAAAAATAGAATAAAAACAGTATAATAAAATTAAAAGCAACAATAATAATATAGTTCAAGATGGGAAAAAATAAAAAATAATCAAGTGATGACAGGAGGGAAAGCCTGCCTAAAGTGCCAGGTCTTAAGTTGGCTCTTAAAAACACCCAATGAGGGAGCCAGACAGATCTCTGAGGGGAGATTGTTTCAAAGGAAAGGGGCCACTGCCGAGAATGCCCGGTTTCTTGTTCTTTCTCTCCAGGCCTCCCTTGGTGTTAGGCCCCTCAACCGCTCTTCCTGGCTAGAACGAGTGATTTGGGTAAATCTAGGTGGGAGGAGGCGTTCCGCTAGATATCAAGTTCCTCTGTAGTGCCTTCTTGTCCAGTTGTTAAGCCGGCGTACCATACCATGACACAGTATGTGAAGACGCTTTCTATCTTTGACTGGCAGAAAGACATCATCAACCGCTATGCCACCTAATTTTTCCATAAGACTCTTAGGAAATGGACTCCCTGTTGGGCCTTCCCGACCACCGGGAACGTGTTGCTTTTCTAGGTGAGGTCCTGGCTGAGGTGCACTCCCAGGAATTTGAAGGAGGAAACCCTCTCCACGCTGCCCCCCTTGATATAGAGTGGGGCTGGTTCCTGTCTTGCTTCCGGAAGTCCAACACCATCTCCTTAGTCTTACTGGTGTTTAGGTGCAGATTGTTTTCTTTCCTTCATATCTGTATCCTTCCTGCCAGTGAACTTTGCTTTGGGACTGCTTAGCAGAAGATAAACTTGGGCTTGATTTGCAAGTCTGACTGGCCAGTCTCACAACGGGGGTGATTGTTGTAGGTGGGTAAAAATGGGGTAATTGCAGGGAATGCAAATTTTATTTAACATCTAGTTTGACTCTTAAGAATTCGCATGCTGATGCAGGCATACTTTAATTGGGCTGTTAAATAAGGTTAGGTGGTATTCACTGATTTACAGTTGGAGGGGTAAACTGCTCATACTTTAGTAAAGATTTTTTAAATCAAAGATTTTTGAAGGTTACTTACCATAGTCAGAAAGTGTGCAAGCATGGGCAAATGACTGCAACATATCCAGCATGGACACAGTGTCAGAAAGTTTGTACAGGCAATGAATATGTTCGTAGATTTCACTTAGTAGTTTACATACTATCCTGCAAACACATAGCATCAGAGTATATTTTACTATTCAAAGAAATTTACAAAAGAAATTGGTAAGAACTTCATTCCTTGATAACTGTGTAAACTATCATATGCATTATCAAACTATTTTTATTAAATATACTATGTATGCAAAATTACCCACTTTAAACAAATTAATTAAAATTATAGAATATTTTGAGATGGGTTTTTTGAAAAGGATGCATTGGTACTGAATTTTAGTTACCATTATTAAAATCTGATTCTAGGAACCTGTAAAGAAACTGGAAAATAAAGGGATGATGGTTTCATTCCCTTTGAAAATTAGGCTTGTTGGCTGGTGCTGGGATGGATAAACCAGAAGAGAGGGGGAGAAATTCCCTATTGAGATCTATCTAGTTGAGCATCTTTATCAGTGTGAGAATGAATTTACAAGATCATGAAACAGTCCTGGCAAAATTTTACTGAGAATTACTTTCAATTGAGAAGAAAGGGGGACGAATTTACTTTAGGAAAAGTCACTCCCTCCTGGAAGTTTTGGGATGATTTGCAGTGTGATTAGTGGAATAACCTTGAGAGGTCTGGAAAACTGGATTATGGGTATAAAAATGGCATTCAGAATTGTCTTAGTTAGCCTAATTTCTCTGAGGAGAATGCTATACTCACCTGTTGTCTTACTACTTGATTTTTAATCTGCATATGCTCTGGAACTATGCTGAAGTTCTGTTTCAATGTAAGTAGTGTAGGATAGCTAGCCTTCTTATTTTCTGTGGGAACTGCTCTGGAATTGACATGGCTTTAAACCTTTTTGAACATGTATTTGTTTTGCTGCTTTTTGACTCTCTGTGCTGGCCATAATTTTGACAAAACCACTTTGGGAACCATTATGTTAAACCATTTCAAGCCCAAAATTCCAGGGTAAATCCATATGACTAACTAGTCATGGATATCAGCACAGAAGGTAAGAGGAGAACATTTGCCCTCTTACCAGAATCCTAAATGAATTTATTGATTCACCTCACCTCAGCATAGTCTGTACTATAGTTGAATGCACTTTCAGCTTCTCCACCTCTAACATTTCTTGTAATCAGAGTTCTATATTGATAGCTCAACGAAGAGTACCAAAAACAACACATTTTGTGATAGGAATTACAGTGGGGTCTCTACTTAAGAACTTAATCCGTATTGGAAGGTGGTTCTCAAGTTGAAAAGTTCTTATGTCGAATCTGCATTTCCCATAGGAATGCATTGAAAACCATTTAATCCGTATCTGCTCTTTTCCGTCCATAGAAACTACAGTGGAACCTCTACTTAAGAACTTAATCCGTTTTGGAATGGTGTTCTTAAGTTGAAACCTTTTTAAGTTGAAGCAAAATTTCCCATAGGAATGGACTGAAAACCAATTAATCCGTTCTGGCTGTTTTTTTGTTATGTAGAGGTGCGTTCGTACATTGAAGCATTAGTTCCCATAGGAACTAATGCAAAGCTGGTTAATACGTACTCTACCACTAGGGGGAGATTTTTTTTTAACCTAAGATGACCTAAGGTTAAAAAAAGAGCAGGAAAGGTTTTTTTTCCTGTTCTTATCTTGGATTTCTGTTCTCAAGTAGAAGCAAAATTTAGCAAATGGAGCTGTTCTTAAGTTGGATTGTTCTTAAGTAGGGACGTTCTTAAGTAGAGACCCCACTGTATTAAGAAAGAGGCTGAACATAAAACTGTCAGTATAGTTATGACTTTATATTAAACCACTGTGTGGTGAGATCTGGGATAATAAGTTTGGCCCAACTTCAAAAAATATTGTGGAATTAAAAAAGAAAATGACGGCCAAAATGATGAAGAAATCAGAACATCTTCCTTACAAGGAGAGGCTGAAGTACTTGGGAGTTTTTTATTTAAAAAAGAGAGAGAGAGAAGTACAGAGAGAAGTGACGGAGATTTATATAACCATGTACAGTGTAGAAAATGTGACTAGAGGAAAACTGTTCTCCTTCAAGAACATAGGCCTTAAAAATGCCTAGCAGCAAATTCAGAATACAGAATGTGTTATTAATTTATGGAATTCATAGCCACATTGTGTGGGGTGGCTGTTCAAATTTCATAGCTCTAGAAGAATATTAGATCAACTATTGACAGTGCTTGTATCAATAATTATTATGCATATTCACAAGCAGTATCTCTGGAACATAACACAACAGGGCTTCCACTGTCATGTGGACATAGGTTCAGTTTTCCCTTCAGGTATTTTACAGATATTTGTTAGTAAGCGCAGGCTGATTTGGGATTCAGGCCCAATATCTCTTTCCTGATCCTCACATTTAACTTATCTATCTCACAAACAAGTGATACCAAGATGAAAAAGGGTCATTTTAAGGTGATTCTTAATTTCAAAGTTGAAGTGTGGGCAATAACTGATTTCTTTGATATATGGTGCTGTTGAGAGATCATACTGTAGTGTTTTCTGGAAAAGACCAGATCAACTGTGTGTAACAGATATTGCATTATTTGTTTATATTCAGCAGCCATTTTGTGTCTAGTTATCAAGAGAGAAATAATAAGCATAAAGATGACAGCACCAGAAATAGAAGTAGCAGTAAGAAATCTCAAAACTTGCTTCGAGTAAGAAGCTTGATCCAAAAATCCACAAGTCTTTGTCAGTAAAATTAATTGTTCCTTCTATACAGTGAAGAATTAACATATTTGGGAAAGGTTCTTACAAGTAAGTCATGTGATAAATTTCTCTCAAGGACTCCTGACATCTTTCATTCATTTTCATTAAATCTGGTGATGTAAAGCTATATACATTTTTCATTTTAGTGATCTGTAAGGGAAATTAAAACCAAACATTAAAATATACTATAGAAGCACAAATAAAATTTATTTCAGAAAATTGCAAGAGTGATTGCAAGCATGAGAAAAAACTTTACAAAATATCAAAACAGAAAATATTACTATGTAGTGATAATACTATTCCCCATTCATGATGGGGAAGTGACCAAAAAGTCCGTGGGCAAAACCTCGTGCCAACAGCTTCTGTTCAGGTCAGGCCAATACTATTCTACAAATTGACAAGAAAAAAGATGCCCCATCCTTTATCAAGGAAAGCATGGAATACCGGTAGTGCAGCTATGTCCAGATTGATGCATAAAATGAATTTTTAAAAGGGGAAAGGACAAGTAAAAAACAGACAAAACAAAATGAGCTTATTAACGTATTCCTATGCCTTCATGCTACTCAGTCAAAAATGAAAATGGCACGTGAAGAGTCTGTCTTCAGGGCATGTGTATTACACTCAGGAGATGTCCTCTGCTGCCAAAAGCATTTAAAGAGAAGCAGGAGAATGTTCCAAACAGTGTTCTGAACAAGCAAAAGTGATTCCATAAGTGTAGCTGCACTAGTCCCACAAATATTAGGTAATGGTGATCTATTAATGATAAATACTGTACTCTTATGTTTTAAATATCCTACAATTACCTCAGAATTTCATAGCTTTAACAATAAAAACAATATCAATTATCTTTTTTCTGATTCTCAACTGAGGATGGAATAAATGCTCACAATTTATTTATTTATTTATTTATTTATTTATTTATGTACTGCCCATCTAGAACGTGTCTACTCTGGGTGGTTATTCTTGTTCTCAATAAAATATTCTTGTTCTCAATAAAATGGGTGTCTCAGCACCTCGGTGAAAAAAACAGGCAACTGCTGTGAGACTGATTCACTCCTATATAAGTGAAAACAAACTGGCTCTTTTTTCATCAGCAGTGATATTAGCAAATACTCTGTTTTCTGCACAGAGATGTTGGTTTTTGGGAAACACTTGTACTGCACATAAAAACTTTGCATTTTGTACAAAATACAACTTTTTGGCACCAAATCTTTCCATGAGCCCGTCACAAGAAACAGACTACATAAAACCTCTTACAACCAAGGTTGAAAATGTCAAGTGAAGAATGAGATTCCTCTTTTCAACCTGAATGTCAGTGGCCAGTTTGTTGCCACAGTTCTGCTGCTCACAGTTTAAAAAGTCTAAATTCAAACGCTTCTTGCCTACTATGATATTCTCTAAAATATATCTAAAAATTGATATATTTTCCTTTGGTATCGTTTTTCCCCAGCTAATCCCACCAAAATTTCCATTTCTGACATCAGTGTGTACCTGTTCCACTCTAACTTATCCTCTTGAACATGGATTCATTAAACTATACATTTAGTTCAGAACATATAGCTTCATTACTGCCTTGTAGAAGAATACCCTGTATTACCCAATCCCTACTCAAAAAGCATTTCTTACTGTACCAAAGAAGAATCTTTGTGCATTTTCCAGTACCCAGAGGTAATAGAAAAGATAAAGAAAGAATGATTAGAATTATGGAAAATAAATGAAGCAGGAGGTACGAAATTATGCTTGTTGTGGGACACGAAATCAATTTCAAGAGGAATAACAATAAGGGAATCCTGTAAACTGAAAAAACTTAAGGAGATAAATGTGAAAAAACTGGAAGGAGAATTGAGAATTTTGGAAAGCAAGGTTTTTTTAGAAAGAGATAGAAGGATATTGGGAGAATTTCAGGCAAAGAGAAAGGAACTAGAAAACTTAGAGATAGAGAAAATTCAGAGTGATTTGATATGTATAAAGAGGATTATTTTTGAATTTAGCAATAAAAACTCAAAATTATTAGCTAGAATGTGCAACAATAGAAGATTAAAAAACAATTGTAATTAAAGATAGAACAGGCAAGAGATTGGAAGATAAATGTAAGATTTTTCTAGAATTTTATCAGAAATTATATAAAGGAAACAAAGAACTGAAAGAGAATATAGAAAATTATATAAATGAGAATTTAAAAATTAAATTATTAGAATGTGATAAAAGAATATTAGAAGAAGAGATTAAAGAAAAAGAAATTGCTGAAGTCATTAATGAACTGAGAAATGGTAAAACACCAGGCCCTGATGGATTGGGTCCAGAATATTATAAACATCTTTGTTCCATTTTGATACCTAAGCTAAAAATGTTTTATAATAAAATATTGGAAGGAGAGACAATGCCACCTTCTTGGAAACACTCATTAACGATTCTTATTCCAAAACCCAACAAAGATCTAACAGATCTGGGATCTTATAGACCTATATCTCTAATAAATCAAGATGCTAAAATTTACTGCTATTTTAGCAAATAGATTAAATAAATTTATAGCAAATTATATTAAAGAGGATCAATGTTGCTTTATAAAGAGAAGACAAATGGATAATTAATTAGGTGAGTTTTGAACATTATATATGAGGTAGAAAAGGAAAAAAACAAAGGCAACTGTTTTATCAGTAGACATATTTAAGGCCTTTGATTGTGTGGAATGGCCAAAATTAAAGCTGCTTATAAAGGGCTGGGGATTTGGTAGAAGATGTATTGGGTTTATAGATCAATTATATTCAGATAATACTTCAGAACTAATAGTTAATGATGGTTTAACAGAGCGAATTTTTTCTAGGCCGAGGTACAAGACAAGGCTGTCCACTTTCACCAATATTGTTTTGTATGATTATAGAATTATTAGCTAATGCAATAAGAGATGATGAATTAATTAAAAGATTAGGTAAAAATGATACAAGTAAGATTAATTTATTTGCTGGTGATTCATAATTAACTATTAAACACCCATGAGAAAGTATGGATAAAATTAAAAATTATTTTAAAAACTATGGGGAAATAACAGGATTAACTATTAACTGGCAAAAAACACAAACAATGATGTTTAATTACAATAAATATGAACAAGAAACATTTATAAATAAATATGATTTAAAAATGTGTAATTATATTAAATATTTAGGTATAAATATAGTTAAAGTGACTCAAAAATTAAAGAAGCAAAATTTTAACACATTAAAAATGATATTAAAGATAAACTGCAGGAATACTCTAAATTGAAACTATCATAGTTTGGGAGAATCGCTATGATCAAAGTGAAAAATATTACCCAAATTAGTTTTTTATTCGGGATGCTCCCAGTACAATTAGAAGAAGATTTTAAGTATTGGCAGGGATTAATTAATGGATTTTGTAATCAAGGTAAAAAAATCAAGAATAAATAAAAGATATTGGTATAAGGCTCAAAAAAAATGGAGGTTTAGGTATTCCTAATATAAAAAAATATTATATAGAGAATCAGCTAAGATTTATTGGCGATATTATATATAATAAAGGAAGGTTAATTTGGTGGGATATGGAATCCTTAGAAATAAATGCAGAAAGATGCCTTCAGGAAGGGAGTAGTAAGTAGAATTTATAACCTAATTTTGGAACAAGAGGTAAAAGATACAGAAACAGAAGGTTTGAAATCAATTTGGGAAAATGATTTAAAAACGGAAATTAAAACAGTGGATTGGACAAAAATTTGGAAGATGAGAGTTTTAAGATTAATGTCAGTAAGAATAAAGGAATTAATTTTTAAAAAATTAGTTTAAGGTGATATATGACTCTGGTGAAATTGAATATAATAAATTCAGATTATTCTAAAGCCTGTTGGAAATGTGATGAGGAAATTGGCACATATTATCATATGTGGTGGGAGTGTAAATGGATTCAGAAATCTTGGAAACTGATTTTTAAGGAAATATGTGATGTATTTGGAAAAGATATCGAACTGAATTCTAAAATTGTTTTCTTGTCAATTTTTGATGAGATAGAACTTGATTATTGCTCAAAGGAATTGATTTCCAATTTTATGACAAGTGCTAGAATATTAATAGCTAGATTCTGGAAAGATAAAAATGGTACAGTATTAAATTAGAAGATTGATATAATGAAGTATGGGCCAATGATAAATTGATTACTGAACTTAAGATGAAAAGATGGGAAAGTTTAAATATTTTTTATGCTATTTGGGATAGATTTAGCAAGGGGAAAGCCTCTTAGCAACAATCAATACAATTTTGGAAAGGAGGTTTGTAATACAGTGGTGCCTCGCTTAATGATAAAAATCCATTCCATGAAAATAGCTGTTAAGCGAACACATCGTAAAGCGGGAAAAAAACCCCCACTAAAACGCATTGAAACCCATTCAATGCGTTCCAATGGGGTAAAAACTCACCGTCCAGCGAAGATCCTCCATGCGGCAGCCATTTTTGCTGCCTGTATAGCGAGGAATCCGTCCCTAAACACAGTGGGGAGCCATTTTTAGTCACCCGGTGGCCATTTTGAAACAGCTGATCAGCTGTTCAAAAAAAGTCGTTTTACGAAGAATCCGTTCCTGAAGCAGGGAACCGATCATCGCAAAGCGAAATTCCCCCATTCAGACCATCGTTTTGCGATCGCAAAAAGATTGTCATTAAGTGGTTTTGTCGTAATGTGGGGCAATCGTAAAGCGAGGCACCTGTGTATAAGTATTTCTGTGGGTATGGGGGTGCACTGTGTTTTAGTTTGTATTAGTAAGTATTTTGTATTCTTGTATTTGTTTTGGAAATTTAAAAAAAATTAAAAAAAGAACCATTGCCACGTTACCACAATGATTACTTAATGTCATCTACAGCAGTGGTCCCCAACCTTGGGCCTCCAGATGTTCTTGGACTTCAACTCCCAGAAATCCTGGGCAGCAGAGGTGGTGGTGAAGGATTCTGGGAGGAGTAGTCCAAGAACATCTGGAGGCCCAAGGTTGAGGACCACTGATCTACAGTGAAGCTGCTACAGAAGAAGCTACAGTGAAGCTGGCTAAGCCTTCATAGGCATAAATTTAAGCAAAGAAGAGCTACACTTCCAAAATTTAAATTCAATTAATTAGCTGCAATATATTTGAGAGTCAACATCTCCAAAATATGTACCTTGGTAAATTCTGAAGGAAGCTGACCACTGTGTATTGCGGCACATTCAGCATTCATCTGAATAAAAAATCCTCTAGCTGAACTAAAACTTGTTTTCAAAGGAAGGTTATACTTTTCTGCAAGCTGTGCTATCATTCCTTAATAGCAAGATACAAAACAGACATATTTTCTAATATCACAAGATCAACTATATTATATGGTCAATAAAATCTGTAATTGATATAGTAAAAGTCTTGACATTTTTACTACAGAATTGATTGAAGGCAAAAGAGATATCAGGAAAATAAGCTAATAAACGTTTGTTGAATTTATTTTAATATTTTTCCTTCAGTCAAAAATGAAATTAAAACAAAACAAAATCAGTTATTAAAGCCTCTCCTCTTGTTGCAGAAAAAAACAACTTAGAGATTAAGACAGCCTATCCAAATAGTAACGAAACTACTCCATGCAGTAAACCCAAGAATATACAGCACTATATCATGTGCATCACAAAGTGAATCTATACATTTTCCTCTATACCAGAGGTCCCCAACCCCCAGTCCGTGACCCGGCAGCGGTCTGCGGCCTATCCAGGACTGGACCACAAACACAGGTCTACTACCCATGCGAGTGCAGTCGCGTGCAAGCGCATGAGCCCGTTCCACCTGTGAGCACAGCGTACGCATGCACGTGAGCTCCGCCCCCCTGCGGGCGTGCCACACCCCCCAACCAGTCCACGGTTGGGAAAAGGTTGGGGACTACTGCTCTATACAGCAATGTTGTAGCAGTAGCACAAGACCCACTGCAGCAGTGGTTTACATTTTCAGTTACCAGTTTTGTTGCACAAGGTACAATGGTGCCTTGCTTGACGATTGCCTCGCGGGCTGAAAAAGCGCAAGACGATTGTTTTGTGCAATCACTATGGTGCCTCGCAAGACATTTTTTTCTATGACCGTGCTTTGCAAGACTTTTTTTTTTAGACCGATGCTTCGCAAGACTTTTTTTTTGAGACTGATGCATAGGGAACCTCGCAAGGCGATTTTTTCACAAGACGACGATTTTCGCGGAAGGAATTAAAATTGTCTTGCGAGGCACCACTGTAGCTGCACAACAGGGTAACTGAGGGCACCTGAATCACAAGAATTTTCATGCTACCAGTATTAAATTGGATTTAGGTCCTCAAAGTTAGGTACATAAACAGCTAAGTACCTGCTATATCATCAACAATCTCAGTATATGTTCTCCGTGCAATGTCAAGAAATTCATTGATATTAGGCTTCACCGCATAGCACTTTTGAGTTCTCATATTCAAACACCCTTTGGTATATCTTGTATCATCATTAATGACAGTTTTAATCTTTTCAAGTATGATTCCAAATCTAGAAAAAAATACGTATTAAATTTTATAACTACATTATATTTACACATGTTGTAATGCTCACATGGTAGAGCCAATATGGCACAGAGTATCAGACTAGGACTAGGACACCAGGGTTCAAATTCCCACTAGGCTATGGGAACATACTGGATTAGAATACTGTACGGGCTGCTTAATGCATTAATGACCCATCGTATTTTCTTTATTATGCAATTTAGTGTAGCAGACAGCGTGTCAGCCTGGAACTGAGGAGACCTGGATTCAAATCCCCTTGCAGTTATGAGGGGTAGAAATGATAAATCATTCCTTGAACATCTCACATACCTCATTCTACTGAAGTCACCCTACATTGGAAGCAATTTGATGTTATACACGTATAATAAAAACCATGAGTCCCAAATTCAAAATTATCATCCACTGGATATTCTTAAAATCTCAGTTAAAACACTCTATCCAAAAGTATATTGCATGTCAGTACAATTAAGCAGCCAATGTGTTTCTCAATATTATCATAAAGACTGCTCAGAAATCCTCTACATGAATTATGTTGTAATCCCAACTTCATAGAAATCAATTAACTTACTTTCTGGTACTTATATTTATGTTTCTTTGGTTTAGATCCAAGTAAACAGTTTTTTTAAAGTCACAAAACCTATATTACTGTATAATAAAAGTCATTTTATTACTTACAGTACTATCCGATAAGTATGTTGACAAATGTTATAAATGATTACAATTTACTATTTGCTATTTTAATTGAATGTATCAATTGCATAGGACTGCACTGAATATAGCACTAGTTCAAGGCCCATGGCACTTGTAGTTGTACATTTTCAAGATAGTATCCAACACAGTTTTTCTGTATTGGATACTACAGTATCTTGTAAAAACTGTGCAAGCAAATGCCAGCATAAACTCTCAAACCATTGCTTCCACAATCATTGTGGAATATGCAGTGCAGAACAACTGCACTAGCAGGGACTGTCATACCATTAACATTATTTTGGATCTAGGCCATAGCCCTATTTGTAAATGCATTCAATATCATTGTAATACCAACTGATAAAATGAAACTCAAAACAATTGGTAGTTCAGTTATTTAATTAAGTGAAATCAACCTTTAAAAACAGAGAGAACACAAGGCATAATGTCAAACAATGTCAAAACATTCAAGGTGGGGGATGTTGATTATACAGTACCTGCTGTCTTCCAGAGAACTATAGTAAGCCTTTAACAATGGTGTCTTATAGCTTTTCAAAGTATCCTGTTAAAACCAACATAAAAAGTTCAAATATTCAAACATACACAATTGATACTGGGTGCTACACCTTTCCTTTCCAACACAACCATATACATATCTACTGAGAAATAAAACCTACTGATTTCAGAAAGGGCTTATTCCTAGGTAAGTGATAGGAATGTTATGCCCTAATCATGAGGGAACTGTTCTCTAGTTACAGTGGTGCCCCGCTAGACGCTTACCCAGTAAACGACGAAATCGTTTGACGATGACTTTTTTGCGATCACTATTACGATCACAAAACAATGGTTCCTATGGGGGAAATCCGCTTTACGTTGATTAGGTCCCTGCTTCGCGAACCGTTTGTTCACAAAACGATGATTTTTCCGGCTCCGCAAAATGGCCTCCTTTCCTTCACAAAATGGCTGTTTTCCAGACAGAAGCTTCGGAAGACAGTGATTTTAAACAGCTGATCAGCGATTCTCTATGGGCGATCTTCGCTGGACAACGAGTTATTTCCCCATTGGAATGCATTAACCGGTTTTCAATGCATTCCAATGGGGTTTTTCCCCGCATGACAACGATTTCGCTGTACAGCGATTTTCACAGAACGGATTATCGTCGTCATGCGGGGCACCACTGTACTCTGAAACTTCCAATACCTTTGTTGTACTGATTAATGATCATGTGGTTTATATACTAGGGCAAATGTCCCAACAACTTTTAGGAGGACCCATTTCTTTCCCCCTATTTGAATTATTATGGTTAGCTATAACATGGTACTGGTTTATTTCTGCTTCTGCTTCAAGGGGCAATTTAACCCCTTGATTTATATATATATTTAAAATATATGTTTACTGATACATCTATATATCAGGAAGGGGTTTCTGTTCGGGATGGTGTACTCTGTTGCACTGGCAGTTCCTGCAAAGTCACATTGCATACAGTGAACAATAGACCACTGTCTACAGAATACGCTTGGCAGTAAGAATGGCAGCTGATGCCTATCCACAGGCTATGAAAAAAATGAAAATAGTGCAGCAACACTGGAGATCTCCCCTCCCCCAATGACATACTTTTACCAACCTATCAATGTACCCATTAGGATTTAAAAAAAAAACATGCACAGCATAAAAATGGTAACCATCTTCCTGGCTTTGATTCGTAAAGAATTGCATACAGGCAATCCCAGTAAGGAATGCACCAGTACAACAGAGGTACAAAATAACACAACTTTCCCAGCCCGGGGGAAATGTTCCCCACTTATACCCCTGGCTGGGAAAATGTTTCACTCTTGACTGTGCATCGTGTGACCAGAAAAAAACCTAATGAACTAACTGGGAGAGAACTAGAGAACATTTCTCTTGTGTGACCAGGGCCTTATATACTTATTTGGAAGTAAGCTATTTTGAACTCATTGGGACTAATCTGTGAATAGATTTATGTGGGATTGTACTATAAAGAGTAACCAAGTCTCAAAAAGACTCTGATGGCACCATGTATAAAATACTGGGCAAAGATGTAAAAACCTCACTACCTAATATTGTTCTGTTGGATTGCTTTGCACATATGAAATGATGAAGGAGCCATATACTGCAAGGGGTGGATTCTATGGTGAGCTCTAGCCTGCTCCTAGTCCTTATCCACTTGTGCTCTGGCTGTCTTTTTATAGCCGATGTGCCACAGAAGTATCCACAGCCTAAAAATGGTCAGAGACAGATCTCTGGAGATGAGCAGGAAAGGAGAAAACAGTTATTCAGATGAAAAAAAATGAGCAGGAAGTAGCTTTAACAAGTACAGTACAAAACTTAGCAAAACCTTCTGTAAACTCACATGTGTATTTTCATCTCTGTTGTTTTGCAATGGTGGCACTGAAGTGCAGTCTTTAGCAGGCAAGAAATTTGCTCTGCTCTCATAAAAAAAAATAGTGACAGAGACTAAGGGCAAGACTCCCTGATCTCAGATCCCTAGGAACTGAACATAATTATAATACATACAGCTTCAGTATCTGATACCTTCAAAGGTTCCACAAGTTCCAGGGTATGCTTCAAATAAATTAAATTTGTTATTTTTGACTCAGATGCATTAACCTGTTTAGAAAGCACAGAAAGAGGTCATACTTTGTTATCGCTCTACTGTTGTTCTAGCATAATGTGGCCTATATACATTTGTGTTTACTATCATTGCTGCATGTGTCTCAGTTTTCACCCATATCTCCTCTGTGTGCATCATATCTAAATGATGTATTAGAACTGTTATCTAACTTATTTTCATTTTCCTTATTGAAGCTGCTTATGCCAGTTGTTTCTAGCTTGCTACTACTGACTCATTATCATTCCCTTACTCCCAACATATTTTCCATGAGTATATGGCCACTAGACCATTACAGTTGAATGTCTGTGCAACATTCTAGCCAGAATCCTGTTTGCAAATATGAAGGACAGCAGCTCTGTTGCTAGATTACTCCACGCTTGCTACTCTGATTTCTGGCTTGCAGTTACACAAGCTGGAAATCTCTCCACTCAATATACTGGGGCTTTCCGCTTGCACAACTGCATGCACAACAAGCCACTGCACAGGGAAAAATCAAGCGTGTTATTTTTCTCTCTTTATGCAAAACAGAGCCACCCCAAAGTAAGGAAGAGAAATCTGTATACTTAGGGCACTCTGTGGTTAAATACAAGTATATTCATTTGTAAATTGAAAGAACTGTTTCACCACAGATAATCACTAATAATTGCTACATTTAAAAGGTTCATTTCAGAAACAATATTGCTACATGATAAAAAGGTGTCTAGTAGGAATATGGTTAGCACAGCACAATGCAAAAAAACAAAAAAACAAAAACCCACAGAAACATATGGAGATCAGCCCAGTCTAATCATCCTCTCCCTGCCTTTTCACAAAATCTAGCTCTTTCCATGGTAAAAATCACTCTGTATGCATAGTTAAAACAGTATCTCTGTTTACAGTTACTATTTATAGTTAGTCAGAAGAAAAAAGGGGAAAAACAAGGCCACTAGTCCTCCATGCTTGCTTCTCAGAGGATGATCAGATAAAGAGAGTTAAAAAAGCAAGGTATAGTGGATTACTATAACCAAAATGGTAAAAAAGAAGCTGAAAACATTTTTAAATGAGTTAAAAGAAAAGAAAAATCTAAGGTCTTTAAGACTCCAGTAAATGAACGAAGAATAAAGCCATAGCTGAACTCGCTATATGTTTAATAATAATATCTGCCAATTTTTGGGGAAAACATTTTTAAATGAGTTAAAAGAAAAGAAAAATCTAAGGTCTTTAAGACTCCAGTAAATGAACGAAGAATAAAGCCATAGCTGAACTCGCTATATGTTTAATAATAATATCTGCCAACTTTTGGGCATCATTTAGATCAATAGGCCCCAACCATGGATCGGTTGGGGGTGTGCCTGCACAGAGCTCGCAAGCCTTCACCACCAGCTGTGCTGACTGGGGTTTCTGGGAGTTGCAGTTCAAAAGCATCTGAGTAACAAAGGTTAAGAACCACTGATTTAGATCAATAGTCCCCAACCTTTTCCCAACCATGGATCAGTTGGGGGTGTGCCTGCAGGGGGCAGAGCTCGCTTGGATACATGTTGCGCTCACAGGGGAAGCAGCTCGTGCATATGCACACGTTGCACTCATGTCACGCTCACAGGGGTGGAACACACTCACTCGTGGAGGGTGCTCACAGGGGGGTTAGGAGATCTGTGTCCATGGCCCAGTCCTGGATAGGCTGCGGACTGCTGCCAGGTCACAGACCGGGGGTTGGGGACACCTGATTTACATTTTATTCATACTGTAGTTAACAAAGGTAAATGGCAAAAGGCACAGTGCTTTCATTTGTAATTTAAGCACACAAATAAACATGCATACACACACATATACAAAATTTCCCACAATAAATACAGATATGAATAGTGATGGTGGGTACACATAAATAGCAGCTATTCTTTATTGTTCAAAAAATAAACCTACCGTATCTTGCTTTGGAATTTGAACTAATACAGAGAGTAATTGTTCAGTGTCCAGGAATCTTGAAATAACTGAAAAAGAATACAGTATTTCACCTCAATTCACAACTGAATTAAATCTGGGATGTAATCTTATTACTATAAGTGGAACCGGCACAAAGAGAGGTTACTTACCTGTAACCATAGTTCTTTGAGTGGTCCTCTGAGAATCCACACAAATGGGTTAGACTGCGCCTGCGCAGGACTCCTCAGAATATTCTAGAGCTTAAAAACATGTGATTAATAGGATGTTCCCCTGTGGCACGCATGTTCCGCCCACATGTAATACCTCAGTTCTGAAATGTCCGCTGCTGTCAAGGCTCTGACTATAACAAAGCTCAAGACAGCAAGTGATGGACAGAGAGGAGGATGGGCGGGATGTGTGGGTTCACAGAGGACCCTCAAAAAACTATGGTTACAGGTAAGTAACCTGTCCTTCTTCGTGGCCTCTGTGAATGCACACAAATGGGTGACTAGCAAGCTAACTTACCAGAAGGAGGGCTGTCACGCTAACAATGAAGTCAGCACAGCTCTGCCAAAACTTGCTTCTTTCTTGGCCTTGACGTCTAGACTGCAATGTGTCACAAAAGTCCAGGGTGTAGACTATGTGGCTGCTAGACAGATGTCAGGGACCTCAATGCCAAGAAACCAGGCTGTAGAGGTGGCCACAGCTCTCGCAGAGTGTGCCTTTAGCACATCTGGTGGAGTCTTGCCTGCCAATTCATAAGCCAACGTAATGTAGTGACAATCCATCTTGAGACCGTCTGTGAAAAGGCAGGAGAACCCTTACATGGGCCAAGGAAGGACACAAAGAGTTGAGGAGAAGTGCAGAAATCCTTAGTCCTGGAAATATAAAATGCTAAAGCGCAGGAAGGACACAAAGAGTTGAGGAGAAGTGCCGAAATCCTTAGTCCTGAAAATATAAAATGCTAAAGCGCGATGAACATTGAGGGAATGGAGCATGCATTCAACATCAGAAGAAGGAGATGGAAATAACATCAGGAAAATAAGAGGTTGATTAACATGAAAACTTGAAATCACTTTGGGAAGAAAGGACATGTCAGGGTATAAGACAACTTTGTCTGAAAAAAACTGAATATAAGGAGTATCAGATTGAAGGGCAGCCAGCTCGCTTGCTCGATGTGCGGAAGTTATAGCCACAAGAAACATAGTCTTGAGAGAGAGAAGTTTGAGATGCGCAGAGGCATGGGCTCAAATGGAGGGCGACCAAGAGCATGGAGAACAACCTGGAGAGTCCACTGAGGGAGTGGAGGTCGTACAGGTGGATGAATGTTCCGCAAACCTCTAAGAAACTTCTTTAGGGTTGGGTGAGAAAATAAACGAGAAGTCTCAGATCCCACAGGTTGATAAGAGACTATCGCGGAAATATACAGTGGGGTCTCTACTTAAGAACTTAATCCGTATTGGAAAGTGGTTCTCAAGTTGAAAAGTTCTTATGTTGAATCTGCATTTCCCATAGGAATGCACTGAAAACCATTTAATCCGTATCTGCTCTTTTCCGTCCATAGAAACTACAGTGGAACCTCTACTTAAGAACTTAATCGGTTTTGGAATGGTGTTCTTAAGTTGAAACGTTCTTAAGTTGAAGCAAAATTTCCCATAGGAATGGACTGAAAACCAATTAATCCGTTCTGGCTGTTTTTTTGTTATGTAGAGGTGCGTTCGTACATTGAAGCATTAGTTCCCATAGGAACTAATGCAAAGCTGGTTAATACGTACTCTACCACTAGGGGGAGAATTTTTTTTAACCTAAGATGACCTAAGGTTAAAAAAAGAGCAGGAAAGGTTTTTTTTCCTGTTCTTATCTTGGATTTCTGTTCTCAAGTAGAAGCAAAATTTAGCAAATGGAGCTGTTCTTAAGTTGGATTGTTCTTAAGTAGAGACGTTCTTACGTAGAGACCCCACTGTAAACCTTTAACATAGAATAGACCAAACCTCGATCAAACAGATAATGAAGGAACTTGAGGAGGATCTCTAGTGAAACGGGAACCACAGGTAGACCCCTTGATTCAACAAATTTAGAGAAACTATCCCATTTGTAAGAATATAACAATTTAGTAGGAGGCTTCCTGGCCTTATCCAGCACCTCCGCTACAATGGGGGGGATTCTCTATGCTGTGAGGTGCACAGATTCCAGGTCGGGATGACAAATCCGGCCTCTGTCCTGAGTCAGAAGGGACGGCTGGAGAGGTAACGAACCCAGAGGCCATGGATCTGAGAGGGATGAACCATGGTTGGTGAGGCCACCATGGGGCTATTAAGATGGCATTGGCTCGCAGCTGACGGAGCTTGACAATTGTCTTTTGGATGAGAGGAATGGGAAGGAAGAGATAGAGTAGTAGTATACTTTATTATGGTCAAAGACCAGTAAAACCAAATCAATATAAAATAGATACATATAATTATTGTTTCGTAAAGTCGGGCAGGGTAATAAAATTCCATTAAAACATGATAAAACAACTCCTTCTTTCCAAATAATAACATAATTAATCCTTAGTATAGGTAAAACCTCAGGCAGTGTTATATTAAAAACATTATATTGTCCAACTAAAATCACCTACCCAAACATCTGTTTACGAATAACCATTGCTGCGGCACAGAATTTGGCCACTTGTCTTGCAATATAAGTAGAAAGAGAAGGAGATTGCCTCAGTCCACCACGAAGGCGTTGCCAAGAGAGTTCACGCCTCTTCCTGTCCAAGAGCAAAACTTGCTGCATTTTGCGTTGGTCTGATTGGCAAATACATTGACAGCAGCCTACCAGGAGATGAGGGACAAAGGTCCACCAGGTAAGCTGACAAGCTAACTCTGGGGTAACCAGCAGATGTTTGGAAGGATGGTCTAAGAGAGGGTTAAACTGGAACAAGTACGAAGCCTGTAAGGAACGCATTTTGAACCTTGCATTTTGAAGCACAGATGCAGTTGAAACCATCAGACCTAGAAGGTGTTGCGCATGGTGAGAGGTGACTGTGGCTTAATGTTGGAAGGGGCGGATGGCTCACCTCAACTTAAGCATCCTTTCAGGAGGAAGAAAAACTCTGGCCTTGATCGAATCGAGGTGCGCCCTGATGTAATCCATTGTTTGCAATGGTTTGAGATGGGATTTCTTGAAATTGACTTGCAGTCGGTGGCTAAGTTTTTATTCTCAGTTTTAAGAATTCGTAAAATGTTATATTAAGACAACCACATGACTCAAGTTTTATACTGCTCACATGTTCTAATGATTTACTTATTCTGTATATCTTATATAATATTTTTATCTTTGTATTTTTGGGTCTATGACCATATAATAATAAAAAAAGACTTGCAGGTCGAGATCTGCCAGAGTATGAAGAACAAAGATGGAGTCCCTTTGGGCTGTGCCATATGACACTCTAATGATTTACTTATTCTGTATATCTTATATAATATTTTTATCTTTGTATTTTTGGGTCTATGACCATATAATAATAAAAAAAGACTTGCAGGTCGAGATCTGCCAGAGTATGAAGAACAAAGATGGAGTCCCTTTGGGCTGTGCCGTATGACACTGCCACTATCAACTAATCATCTATATACAGAAAAACCATGAAATTGTGTAGATGAAAGTAAGCACCCACAGGGGCCAGACACTTTGTGAAAGTTCTTGGCGTGGTGAAAAGCCCGAAGGGGAGGGCACAGAACCCATAGGCTGTGCCTCTGAAAAGAAACCGGAGATATTTGAAGTGATGTTCGTGGATGGAAATATGGAAGTACATGTCCTGGAGATCTATGACTACAAACCAGTCACCTGGAGAAAGATTTGAGGGTGACCATGCAAAAATGCCTGGGATGAATATAGGTATTGAGGAGTCGCAGGTCTAGGATAGGACGAGGACCCGCATCTCATTTGGGGACGGTGAAGTAACAAGAATAAAAACCATTTTGAACATCTTGGGAAGGTACTCTTTGTATAGTGTGCTTGTATTTTGTATAGTGTGCTTGTATTTTGTCCTCCAGAGCAAGTGAGTAAATCGTATGTTTGAGACAACCAAGAGGAGAAAGTTCTGTGAACTCTAACAGGTAACCGTAACGTATGATAGCGAGCACCCAAGCGTCCTTGGTGACAATGGACCATTTGTCGAGAAAAGGGGCTAGCTGGAGATGATAGGGACAGTCAGTAATCAGATTCAGATAAATTAAGTCAAAGATATTGTTTATTTTTCCTTGCAGGACGACGGAAAGCTTGTCTATGCTGGGCTGGAGCCTGGGACTGGAAAGGAGGAGCAGCAACAGAAGACTGAGGAAAACTGGATCTGTCAGGAGCCGGAGCTGGATGGTTTGTAGGGCTGCTGGTATGCTTGTTGGAAAGTAAAAGGCCTAAGCCACTGGTTACTCGGTATCTGAGTAAGAACGGGCAGTCTTGCAAATTTTGTGTAAGTTATCCATCACTTCATCTGTCTTATCATTGAAAAGGCCAACGCCATCAAAAGGAAGATCCTCAAAGCAGGACCTAGCGTCGTCAGTGATCCCCGCTGAATGCACTCATGCATGTCATCTGAGGGCAACGGCAGAAGCTAAGGCTTTTGAAGCAGTGTCAGCCATATGGTGGGATGCTAAACGTTGCTATTTAGCCAGAGCAGTGGCCTCCAGGTGGGTATTGAGGGCACTGGCTCTAGTCTCCTCAGAAGCAGGCTGAAGAACTGGAAGGATCTTGTTCCACAGTTGCCTGTGATAAGCCCCCATTTCAGCCTGGAAGTTTGAGACCCTCATGATGAAGGAGGCAAGAGAATATAGACGACGACCTAGTATGTCCAGCTTTCTACTTTCCCTGTTGGTAGGAGTGACTGTTGATCAGTTACCGGTGCGGCACTGATTGGACTGCACTATAATGGAGTTCAGAGAATGATGTTTAACGAGGAATGCCATGTCTGTTCCGTGTGTGCAGTAGCGGTTCTCAACACATCTAGAAATTTGTAGGGATGTAGATGGTTTGTCTCATGATTCTTTAATAAGGTCCAACATAGATGGAATGAATGCCAGACTCAACGGAG